CAGCTGCGCACCATCCTCTCCCAGGAAGACCCAGAGAATCAGAAGACTCATCCCACACTCCACAGGATCTCATCTGCTCCCAACGGCCCCTGCTCAGGAAGGAGACGCGCAGCGGGCTTACCTGTGTGTTGGAATAGAGATGAGGAGGGGGCGGAGGGGGTAGCGCTCCTGGGGGGTAGGGGTAGCCAGGATTCCCAAAATTCATGACTCCAGGAGGGGAGAAGTAAGTCGGTGCGAGCAGCTGCTGCGGCGGGGGGGGGCTTGGGGGCATGGAGACTGGCGGAGGGTACAGGCCGGGGTTTGCCATGGGGGCTGGCGTCTGGTGGGGATGTAAACCTGGGAAGCGAGAAAAATAAGCTGGACATGATGCGGCATGTAAAGCCAGCACGGCCCATGGAGGGCCAGGGCAGCTACGATGCCAGCAGGTCATCATGGCTGCGCCTTCCCCGCTGCGGCAGGAAGGAGAAGCGCTTTCCTCAAAGGCCTTTCCTGCAGCCACGAGACCTCAGTTCCTGTGCCAGGGAGGGGAAAAAGGGAAGCGCTTCTCAGCACAGCGGAGCATGGCCCCCTCCCCAATGCCGGGGTCCCAATTCGCCAGAACCGGACACAGCCCCGGTCAGCACATCCACTTCAGGAAACAGTGTTTGCGGGCAAGACAGAGAACATGCCGATTCAACAGCTCTCATTTCTGCTTTTCTCTGCTGATCTACAAGCATCAGGGACTGAAGAACCAGCCCAGCACAAAAACTGGCAGAGCGAAGCGTCCCACTGGAGGGGAAGCAACTCAGTCAGGAGGGTCTGCACAGAACCTGCAGACATCCAGCCAGAGGCTGCCAAAATGTTCAGATCACCTCAGTCCTGGCTGCAAGGGCCAGAAATGCCTGGTTTTCTTTCCTTAAAATTTATATTGATTCAGCCTCACTGCATGAGGGAAGCAGGTCTCCTCCATGTCGTAGAAATAGGGAAAATGGATTCCCGCAGTGACAGAGGCTGTGCGAAACCAGAGTCATCTGCTCCCTGGCACAGGCTGAACCTCCCCAGGGCACAACCGCAACGTCGGTACCAGCCGCCCCATGCCCCGCTGGGGAGCTGGTTCCTCACCTGGATGAGGGAGGTGCATTTCTGGCTGTACGATCATCCCTTGGGGCGGCAGCGGGGCCGGGTTCTCACTGTGGGTGTAGATTGGTCCCTGGAATTGTACTGCAAGACACGACAGTTGGTAAGGAAAAGCTCCTCCGATTTTTATTTTACTGCAGCGAGTCACATGCGCAGCCCAGCCAGCTACGGTTACAAGACTTGAAGGCAGTGCTGCAAGCCACGCTCCCAGCGGCACACACAGTCTACCAGGCTCACAGATGCTACACACTCCCAACAGAAAAGCCTCCTACTCCCTTTACAAAGCAGCAGAATACTTGGGGAATTTCTTTTCCAACACTTTAAATGCTGGAGTAAATTCCTAACCCATCCTCGGTCTTGTTCTGTAATTCTCCCTGTTCTTAAAAGTCAAAGACGTTGCTCTGATTTCAAGTTAATTTTAAACCCTAGTTCTTGTGAAGAAAAGCAGTGTCCTAGAGAGCCCTCGCACAGGGAGAGGAGGCAGTAACACTGATTATATTTCAGTGGGTTTAAACACCAACCAGGGAGGCTCAGAGCAGTCTTTTCGTTACCATACGAGATGACACAGCAACACTATTTATGAAGGAAAGGGAAGACAAAGCCCCCGATATTCCTGACCCTAACAGAAGCGGGGGGACTCCTCCTCCAGCTGCTCAGGTCTGAGCACACACGGAGCCTCAGGAGCAGGAGAGAAACACTCACGTGGGTCGTAGTAGTGCCCTTCCATGATGCTGATGTGCATGGGAGGGGCAGGCTCCGGCACCGGTGGTCTCTGCCGCTGTGACGAGTAGCGTTTCACGCGGCCCCCCTGCACTGCCTGAAAGAGTCCAAAGGCATCGGTGAGGGTTAGCGCGTGGGGCAGGAGCCCTCCCTCCAGCGAGGGAGCACCGACCCACGCCCCCACCCGCAAACCTCTATCTGGGTCACACAGTAAAAAGGGTGAACACCCAGAAAAGGGAAAGGCTGAGGTGTCACAAGCAGCCTCTAATTACTGCAATCCAGAAACAAATAAATGCCAGGGTTCCGCGCTTCTAAAAGGAAGAGTCACACTCCACGCAACATGCTTTACCATTTCCTCCATCCTGTTAAACTGAGGCGGTGGCCCAGTTCCCACGTGCATATGGTTAGGAATACCTGAGGAAGAAACAAACTAGTTATTACGGTTTGCATTTGTTCCCAGTAAAAAGCCACCTCACCTGCCAAGGGCGCTGCCAGTCGCCGGCCATATGAGTGCCGGCAGCCTGGGGACGTTACTGCGCTACAAACAAGCACAGCTCTTGCCTTCGTGACAAGAAACCTTCCAACAACTCCATCTCTTAGGTTACAATTTTAAATATTTCAGTACAAATTAGAAGCTGTTGTGTCACTGTACAATCACCCACGCTGCTCAACACGTTTTAGATCTTGCTAGGAAAAAAAAAAAAAAAAAGAAAAATCCTCAGCTTGAAATCCAGGTCCTTATCTTTTTTTTGAGACAAGGATCTCTTCAGCGTAGAAATAAAGATCCACGTGGGACTGGGTAAGCTGCGGTCTAAACCCTGTAGACAGGGCATAACCACTTTTATCAGGGGCTCCTTTTAATTCAAACAACAAAGTTATAGTGCACATTTAAAACCACAGTGCCGAACTGATCACAGGTGATTCCAGGGCAGCGAAAGCGGACAAAACAAACACTGAAAGTGCCCACGGATCACTGATACTGCAAATACAGGTGCAGGCACACAGAACGACCCGACGGCTGGCTCACCTAGCCAAATGCCTCCCAGAATTACTTCCTACCTTCTCTGCCAGGAAGAAACAAAGGGACAGTAGAGTAATACGTCCTTCTTACAGGCACAAAGTGGTCTCCTACCTGCAGTCTAGAGCTGTCTCACAGTAACTCTGTCAAGATGCTTTATGTTTAAGCACAAGAAAAAAAAAAAGTACATAATCTCAGCTGCAAATGACAGCACTTTTGAACTGTCCTTCCACCGGCATGTTTAAAGCCTGCCTACTCGCATCCGCAGTCAAGACCAAGGGTCTGCTCACATGAAGATTTTACCAGTCACATCAGTACAAGATGACTTATGGTTTCATGACCCAAACCTCATGAGATGCTTATGAAAGCAGCAAGTCGCTTTCTTCTCCTTGCTCCAGTTTTATTTCCCTCGGGAAGAACTCTAACGCTCCCCAGAAAAGACTCTAATTCTGCAAAGAGATAATTATACCTGAATGACCTCTCACACTGATGCTCAACTAGAACTCGGTCCCGACCTCGCACAGGGGTAACTCTGCCACACACCCCTCCCTCAGCCGGCCTGGCTGCTGCTGTGAACAGAGCAGCTTCCTCCTACCAGGCACAAACGAATTTGCCAATCCCAGTCAGGCTTTAGCTAGTGGAAACCAAACCTCGATGCTAGGAAATAAGCTGACAAACAGAGGAAAGTTCCCTCCTGCTCCTAGCAGGACATCACAGGAGCCTGATTATTCATTACCCATACCTGCCAACTGAGCACAATGCTCCTTATCTCCCGAACTCTGACTCCTGCCGCAGCAGCTGGTCTCACCGTAATTCACGCCGCACAAAGTCCCTGTGGCCTGTTCCACACTGGGCCCTCAGCTTCGCTGAAGCTTCCTCGTTCTCCACATAAAACGGGGCGGAGAGAGGGAAGGGGTCTACTCTAAAGTCCTGCCCAGACCTAATTCAATTAGCCTACACCGGCATTTTTAATTTCCCCTTTTTCTTTTCTGTTTTGTCGCCTCTAACCACCTCCACCGCACTTTCTCAGCGGCATGCATCACCATCACGTACCTACCCTGAGACCGGACCACGGCAGAGACAATTCAGCTCTGACCGACTCCACGAATGTGGAACTGCACTTGGCTGGGGCTGCAGTGGAAAACCAACACGCTGCACCCACTTACCCCTCAGCTCCCGGGGCTGTATGAACTGAGACTGCCCCGGAGTCCAGTTCTGCTCAGTGAGATTCATTTGGGTCATCTCTTGCTCGAGTCCATCCAAGGTGGATTCTACCGGTGACTCCCAGTTACTGCTCTTGGCTGGCGGGGGGGACGTCTCAGCTTGCACAGGTTTTGGAGGCACAGGAGTCAGCCCTTCCGAAGCGGGCACTTCATCTGCCAGCTTCCCCGCATCCCCAGCTTTGACTCTGGTCCTTCTTGCCCGGGAATAAGACTTCTTTTCAATTGGTCTGTCTGGCGGTGGCTGGGCAGCATCAGCAGCTGTGGCTTGGTTTTCCAAAGCAACCTCCTCCTTCACAGGGCTGCTGTGGACGTGTGCTGCTTCCACCTCAGGTGACTGGTCTCTCGGTGCCGTTTGCTCTGCACGCTTCGCTCGATAGTTGCTCTCCTGTTTCGCTTGCTCGCCGTTTCGAGACAGATGCTGGACGTTTGCTTCTGAAGCTCGGTAGCTTGGACGGGTTTCTTTGTAGCCCCCCATCCTCGAGTAGTTCCTAGGTGGGTGCATCCTCCCTGTACCTGCAGAGCTCCTGTTGGTGAAGGTTCGTGGGGGAGCTGAACTGCTGTCTGTACCTTGATGCCTTGGGGGCTTATTGGGCCTCTCGTTGGACCAGTTTGGGTCTCGCTGAGGAGGACTCCCAAACCTGAGGGAGAAAAATAGTGCAAATGACTGGAAAAAAGTCCCTGGGTGAGAGCTATCACTGTGCCAGAGATCCCCTCTCCGGGATGCAGCATCTAGAAATCCCGGGACCAAGACCCCACCCCAGGGCCAAAGCCAACAGCAGCGCTTTCCCTCTTTGGGGCTTCAGACCTGTCTCCCTCTGGGACAAGCCAGGCTCTAGTTTGACTTTGCTGCTCACCTTGGTTTGCGCATCCTCCTCGGCTTGATGTCGTCGGGGTTGTGAGCTGACCTGATGTCATAGCCATAAAGCGCGATCAGCTCCTGCCTGGTCTTGGGGGCCTGCTCGTCCTCCCGGAATTTGTCGTGTTCCCAGCGGCCCTCATCCTTCCACAGCTTCCGCTGACGGCCCTTTGGCCTGGAACAGTTACACAGGGAGGATCAAGAAGTTGTTGCAAAGCCAAGGAGATGTGGTAGCTTCAACCAGTCCCACACACAGACACCGAGCATTTCTAGGGCAGGGTGTGCACAGGAGACAGCGTCTCCTCTTCCTCGCGCTCTTCCTGCCCAGCAGCTGCTGGTTTACCCACTGCTATTTCTGAAAAGTGGCAAGAAGGGCCACTGCTCACTGGCAAGAGGCTTTCCTTGTGGGTTCTTTTGCACCACCCTCAGCCTCTCCTTCAAAACAAAGAGCCAAAACATCCTGGCAGGACACTGCAAGCAGGCAACCGAAGCACAGACCTTCCCAGCGCTTCACGCAGAAGCAAGGAGCTGTGCTGCCAAACGCCAGCCTGGGAGTTGGCCTCACCCTTCCAGAGCGAGGCAGACACGAGGGGGATGCTCACATACCTGACCTCCTCCTCCTGCGTCTGCCCGCGGAGGTCATGCTCAAAGAAGAGCCCTTTGCGCGGGATGTAAGCCGGGTTTCATCGTCATCCAGGTGCTTGGGAACTTTTTTCCCAACTTTGTTCTCAACAGGTTCAGTGCTCTCCTGTCAAAATCAGACAGCTCTTACCACTGCAGCAGTCCCGCTGCGAGAAGACCCCCACGGCCCAGAGAACGCATGTTTAACACCTACCTGCCCGTCCCCGCTTTGCCTCTCACCAGTTATAGCACCTTTGGAGTCAGGTTTCTCATCCCCTTTCTCTGCTTTTGCTGCTGACTCAGAGGAATCGTTACTATCCTGCTTCAGTTCAACTTTGGCACTTTCTTCCTCGCTGTAATCCTCTTCCTCTGCCTGAAAGAGCCCCAGTTACTCAAACATGCACCTTCAGCAACAGGTCCCCCAGGAATTTCCCCACACAAGTCCCCAGATCTGGAGTCAGTTCCCTGTTCCAGTTGTCAGACCTGACTCTTTCAAAGCAGAGGATTAGCTCCCGAGGTCCTTCCTATTCCTGTATTTTTACGTAAAAAGCAAAGACTAAATCCAACACCTCTCCCCACCAGTGACATCAGATCCAACAGTCAGGCTGTCTAGAACAGAGCCAGGACCAGCTCCCCTACAAAGCCGGAGCCTCTCACCGCTCCGAGAAGAAAGGGTTCAGGCAAGCTGGGGAGACAAGCGAACAAGGGCCCTCAGACCGTGCCTTCCTTCCCACACCGAGGGCCCGGATCCAGCCAGCGCCGCGTTTCCAAATTCCCTGGAGTTACTCAGCTGACTCACTCGGAGCACTCTGCTCGCAGGAGCGTGACCTCGTTTCACCCTCCAGGAGCCTGCAAGCCTTGCTTAGGCTGGAACTGACACTAAAAATAGCTCTGCGTGATTAACAAAAAGACTGCTCTATTTTTCTCTTTCAACACAGCGTATTTGCACATCAACTACTCCTTTTGTTTACGTTGGGGAAACCCAGACATGGCATTATTTTTAGGCACAGGAACAGAGTCATTCTGGCATGTCAGTGATGCAATACCCCCGCTGCTCCAAGAGCCCAGCGTGCACCAGCGCTGCCCTGCTTCTATGCGCACTGAGTCTTCGGGGAGCCTCCACGCAGGTTTCCAGGCCTGAAGAGCTGCTGCACGGTGAACGCAGGGAGCTGCCCCTTACCCTCCACGTGCCACCTCTACAGCCTGCTGCGGCCTTCCGCGCTGACGGCAGAGATTAATTCACAAAGTGACAGCCCCTACGAGCTTCAATTCCACCTCCCTCATTGTTTCCTGTTTTCTCTAACTGCTGTCCCTCTCAAGATTCCCAAAACAGCCGTCTCAAGAGAAGAGTTTTCACTAGAAAACCTTCATCGTAATCGTTAGAAACCAGAACTTCTTTAAACTTCCCGGAGATGTTAAACTTACAGTTCTGAACTAAAAATCCAGGGAAACCTACAGCCCCAGGTTGCTGCCCAGGCACAGGCAGGAGGACTCAGTGCGTGCGAGGTGGGATTTTCTCAGCACACACCCAGCGCAGAGCTGTCAGCGCCCTCGGGTGCGTTACCTCTCCAGCTGCTGGACGCAGAAGACAGGGATGCTGCCTGGGATGCTTCCAACCCAGCACTTAGGGTTCTTAATTCCAACTAATTAAGACGCAACCAGCATCCTACGCTTCCTTCCACTCCCTTCTTGGCCATGGCAAATCCTGCTCCCAGTATCCAACGTCTGAGGCGCTGGGCATTTTTTTTCCCCACCATACGTCCACCCCCCAGCAGCACAGGTGGCTTCTCCCCAGGGCTGGGCCCAGTGCGGGCTGCTCAGCACCGTGGACCATACACCAGAGAACTGCACGGCGAGGGGCTCAGACTGGGAGGGGCCGTCCTCCTCCGCAGCGGCGATGAGTACGCTGCAGGACGGCTCGCTTCGAGTCTCTGCACGGCTGGCGCAAAGCACGCGAGCTGGTATCTTGAGACAAAGGCAATCGCTGCCGACGGGGTCAGTGGAAGAGAACGAAGGACACAAACTGGGTTTTGTGCTAAAATTACGCAAGATGCAGTCACCCGGCAAAACCCTTTAAGCAGCAGGACAGAGACTCCTCTTACCTCTGAGTCTTCTGCACTTTCATAATCCGAGAGTACGGCTGCAGGGGAGAAAAAGGAGTTTGGTGTCAGGGCAGAAACAGAAACACAGCTTCTCCCTGAGCGTAACAGGCCGCATGGCGGGCGCCCGCTGGCAAAGGCACAGCGAGCAGCCTTTTTTTCAGCCCCTCCGTGGGGACGTCAGAGGCCAGCGCCGAAGCGTCCCTGATAAATACCATCGCCAGCTCACACAGGAGGAAGCGAGGGTGAGTTTGGGGCGTCCTGTCCCTGCGCCCCACGTTCACCTACTATTGCGAGCTACTATTTGCGATGACAACAACCGCAGGGCTATTGGAAAAGGCACTTTGTTCAGTTTTTACTTTTCGCACACAAACAACACTTGCAATGGCAGAGTTGTCACTCACCATCTCCTTCAATGCCATCCTCGCTTTCCTGTGGAGAGAGGGAGAGCAAGGTGTGTGCGTGCGGGGATTGAAGGTGGGCAGCCGGGTCCCTGCCGCATCCTACAACCACAGACGCAAATTACAACAAGGTTTGGCCCCGGTCCCATCGCATCCGCCCTTGGAAGTTCAGCTTCAGTGACCACGAAAGAAAAAACAAATTCAGGGCTCCCAGTACCTTTCTTCAAGATCCTTCTAGAGCTACGCTGGGGGAACGCAGCTCCAGAAAAAAAGGACAAACTGTGTTAACTGCTGGGGGTCTTCAGAGGGAAAAGAGCGACATCAACAGATAAGCCAGGCTCCCCTCCCTCCATAACAGAGGGCCAGACAGCTCACTCAGGGAAGGACAAGAGGATTACTTAAAGCAGGAGTCCAGGAATAACGAACAGACGCTGAGCAGGACCGAGCTCAGGCAGACATCTGCTAGAGGCTCCGGCCACAAAAACACAACCCCGTGCCCCAGAGAAGATGCTGGATAAAGCGAAACAACTTAAACGAGGAAAAGTTTCTAGTAAAAGAACAGACTGACCGAACTGTGCAGTAAAAATAGCCTCAGATCAAAAATAAAATCAGACAACGCATTAATGAGATAAGCTCAAACGCCAAAACAGCCAAGCAGAAATACGCTGCGATTCGGGAAGAACTTGAAATAACCGGCACTATAAACCCACGGCAGGACAA